CATCAACGAACATCTCTCTAGCCTCAAGCCTAACACGGCGCCGACGTCACAATCACGCCGCGTGGGAATTGCCTGCATTTCGAATGGTCACGTCTGCAGAAGAAAGCCGGCTTCGAGGCCACCCACTTCCATGGTCGTTAACAATCGAGGAAGGGCTCACACGGGACGTGGTATTCGCTATAAATCAGAAGAGAACATTCCTGCATTACATGAATCGAACAGATTTCGGACTGCTAACCGTTGTGAGAGACTCGACGCACACAAGGTCCAAAAGCTCAACCCGGACTTTCTCCGAGGTCAGACAATCGATCGCCAAGCTTAAGCATCTTTCTAAGTATCTCTTCAAACCCGAAATTAGACGGTGCACCGATTCAAAGGTGAGCTATTCTTCAGGTCCGATGCAAGCCCGCTTTTTATAAGGAAAAAAAGTTTTTTTCATTCCTCCATACCACTCAGTAACACAAAGAAGACGTCAGCTCTCCTGTCAACCAACGGCAGTAGAATGCGTCAATCGTCATCGTGAAAATGGTTAACGAATTGATTCGATTCTGCACCGATGTTCGACAGGTCTCAATGACGCAACTTGTACAGGACTAGTGCGCTAGCACCAGCTGTCCATAGTAGAAGACGTGAGACCTGTCGAACATCGGTGCAGAATCGAATAAATTCGTTAACCATTTTCACGATGACGATTGACGCATTCTACTGGCGTTGGTTGACAGGAGAGCTCTTGAGTAAAGATAGAGTCGATCTTTGTGTTACTGAGTGGTATGGAGGAATCAAGAACTTTTTTCTTCATAAAAAGCAGGCTTGCATCGGGCCTGAAGAATAGCTTTCCTTTGAATCGGTGCTTCGTCTAATTTCGGGTTTGAAGAGATACTTAAAAAGATGCTTTAGCCTGTCGATGGATGGCAGAATCGTGCTGCTCACGAAACAGTTCCTCACTAACAACACGCACCGGAAATTCTGTCGCGACAATTGCTTGCCGCTTAGAGTCCGAACCCGCCATCCTCCACCAGGCTGTGGAGTCCATGATCACTGGACTAAATGCTGATTACTTCGACGAATTCGTCGTCACCGGCCGCACCAGTCATGAGGAAAACGGCCATCCGGAAGCACTCTTCTCAAAAACATCAATCCGCTTGCGGTATCTGCGTTCGTGAGGACAACTGCCACTTACAACTAGCGATGAAAAAGCTCATCTATCTTCGTAATGTCATCATTGCCATTGGACGATCACTCGATCCCAAAAAAAAATTGATGATTTTGCTCAGATGTCGCAACTGAGGGATTCCTTTAGGCACGGTCATTACTCGTGCTCGTCACCCATTATAGAGCGCTCGTGCCAGAAATGCGCCAGCAACATGAACACTTGACGCTTTACCCAAGATGGAAGCTCCGTTGAAATAGAATTACAAATAACGCCTCCGGAAGCGCCAAGGATTGCTCGGGACCCACTGCAACCCAGATTCACTTATCGTCATTGTAGCCGACGCCACAGACTATGGAAACGGAGCACTATTTGCTTGAATAAAGAAGGCAAAGCAATCTACCACGTAGCTGATCTCTCTCATCCACTGAAAATAACTATTGTGAAGTTCAGAATGCACCTATGCACCGGAATACCGATAGCAAGCCGACGACCTATCTCTTTTCATCGCTACTCAGTCGCCATCAAAACAAATCGACATCGGCCACCATCACCAGCATAGTCAGGGAGGTCGAAGCCGTATTCAATGACATTATGCGCTATCAGTTATTGCCGAAAACGACGCCAGCGCCGCTACTGAGAGGGCGATTGTCTGGGCCATGTTCTGCACCACGTCGCTCACAGCAGTTAGCCGTAGAAATCGTCACATACTGTCGCATGACACACCTATTTGCACAATGGTTTGTCTACCGATCATGCTTACCAATTGTAGGACGAATCGTCATTCTACCGTCGCTTCAGCCATTTGTCCTGACGATGCTATATGAAGGACATCGAGGAGTGAACGGATAAAGACCATGTCTCTCAACTACGTATTTAAGATTACAATCAAAGACGACTTGGAAAAAATGTGCAGGCTTAATTCAATTCACTCGGCCAGTCTTAACCGTGTTCCGTTTCTGAGTCTCTTCCCATACATTTGGGTCCGAATACTAGCAGTTTATCAATTTACTCAAGATGATAGTGATCCACATTGCTGTGAATTGAGTCGAGAAACAATTAGAAACTATGGGGTCTTTGAACTTCAACTACAGCGAGCATATCCCATGGGAAAAAACAAAGCATCGGGAGCTCTTTTTGCCATGACAGCTTGGAGCTTTGCAAATGCGAATAATTTTCAGCTCGCTATAGTTTTAACGAGGAAATAGATTTCGAGGCACATCGGCGAATGCCTTCGACATGATCTGGATGAGCTAAGCACTACAACCTTATAAAGTAAAGTAAGGATAAAGTTTTTGGCGTTAATCAATCCCGTCTGAGGGATGCGCCCCCGCACTCGACTTCCATTCAGAATCG